GAGCCTGGCTCGGAGGTGTCAGCCCAGGTACGGGCCGCGGACGCTCAGGCCTTGCCAGCGACCCCGCCTGCACCGGCAGCCCGGCCGTTTCTCCCCGGGGATGGCGTCCAAGGCCTCGGCGGGCCTCTTGGAAAAACGGCCCGGTTTTGTCGACCCGGGGGCTGCAAAAACTTCCCTCTCTGCCCCTCCTGCGAGGAGGAGCAGCCCTCGGTCGCAGCCCGGCAGGGAGGGAGCGGCCTTCGGCTCTCCGAAGGAAACTCGGCCGCCCTTGGGCTCACGCTTCCCTCCTGGAGCCGGACCGCTACCTCGGCCTGCCCCAGTGCCGCCGCCACGTCCCCAGCCAAACGCCCCTTCCCCGGCTTTCTGGTCGGCGCAGGGCGTTAACAGCCCGACCCTGGGGATTCTGGACCCTCTGCTCCAAGGAAATTCCCCGGCGGAGCAGGTCGGGTTGGCGACTCGGGATTTCGGATTCTTGTATGGGCTCAGCCTCGGATTTCCCACTCCTGGGTGTTTAACGCGCGGCGTGTTTTTCAGGGTAGGTGATCTGGTCACGCAGGCCGTGGCGGTCTCCTCATTTGCTCTGTGTTTTTCCCCAGGTGTGTCAGTGAAGGCACCAATGGACATGGGGAGCAGCAGCACTGAGAAGTTTTATAGGATCCCCAAAGGAAAGGGACCGCACTCGGTTGGATGTACAGACCTGATGACAGAAAATGCAGTCGAGGTAAGTCTGTCCGTCCTTCCTCCTTTGGATTTGAGCCGCGATGTTAGTGAAACAACTTGCTGTAGTTTTACAGAGGAATCAGACAGAAGGTCCGGTCTGTGTGCAGGGATGCTCCGCGGCCGACACTCACAGCTGAGTTTTCTGTCCTCTCCGTCCCAGCGTAGGATGTGTACTGGGCATTTACCAGACACACGTAACCTGCAAGCCTTCCCCGTGGCTGCTTCCTCCCTCCTCCTAATATCCTTGCCTTCCTGACTCCCTTACGCAAGATACTGCAGAGAAACTGTGTCCTTCTGGGACACACGGGGTTCTTCCCACCCACCCCACCGCTCTCTTCTGCCCTGGGCTCCTGGGGAGACTCCACACGCAGTCTCCGTGACTGTAGCTGTTCTCACCGCAAAGTTCCCAACGGGATTTGGCAGGGGTGGGTGATGAGGGTACGTAGTGTTTCAGCTGCAGGGGAAAGCATGAGATGTCTTCTCAAAGTTTTATCTATCTGAAAAAGAACAGGATGCCAATTCTGCAAGTGGTTAGTACAAAGAGAAGCCACAAAAAGAAGATGGGGCCAGTAAACAGCCAGCTAACTTCTGGGTTTCCATTTCAAATCCTCTTGCTTTTTGATTTTCCTATGGGAATACACCTGCATTTACACTGTGGTTTTACTCCTCAGACTAGCCAGGTGTGGTGGAACTTGTGATCAGTTTGTATGTTTTCCTTTACTGAGTTTACTCTGTATTAGCAAAAAGAAGCGATTAGTTTCTCTCTGCAGTCAGCCCATGTGTTTTCCTTAGATAAGCAATCTGTATACTTACAGTTCTCTCAGGCATAGAGAATGACCGTCTTTTGCTTTCTGGGTGAGCAGTTAGTCACCTGAGGAGGTTCACTGGGTTTATTCTGGGACCAAATTAGTATCATTACCAGTATGGATGAAGGGTTTGATGGTTTCTTCCTTTGTGTCAAAGGTTGATTTAAGTTTGATAAATAAATAGAAATAAGCTTCATTAAACAAGCTTTTGGTACACGTTGCGTATGAAACTGATAAATTAGTGTTCAAGAAACCAGACTTTATTCCAAAAGTCACGTTCTTTTTGGCCCTAGACTTAACATGGTAAAACAAAAGTACAGTTGGAGCAAGACAGTGAATTTGAATAGTGTGTTGCAAATTCCCTTGCAAACAGGGAAATAAGAATGCTAATTACACACGGTTCATCTGCCAGGAGGTCTGCTTTAAGGTGTGCCGTTGGTACGTTGCTGCTGTCTGCGTAGGAAAAATACTGGCAAGGTGGTATGGAGGGTCCACGTGAATGTGGGAAGCTTGGGTGGTTTCCTGGAAGACCTGGAGTGCAGACAGTAAAAGAAGATTCAAATCAGTGGTAAGAAATGGAGGCAGATAAAACAAAAATTAACAAAGTGAACAAAAATTGTTAAAAAAGTTAACAAAACTGTGTTTAGAAAGATGGACCACTACAGACTTGTAAACATCTTGATGAGGAGGAAGAACAATATATTGCGCTCCTTTGCTGTGCAGCTGCCCAAGAGCTTTACTGACAGCCTCTTGCTCAGTTTAGCCAGGAACACTATAGCCATGTTGAGACCATGCCCCTGACTCTACCCGCATCTTCTCTGCTGGACAGCACTTCTAGAAACTAGTGTCAGGGTAAAATTTGTCTTGTTAACCTAGTGGAAAAATATACTTCTAGGAGGGTCTGGTTTTCCCCCCAGTCTAGCAAGCTGAATTGGGTCAGTAACAGCTCCATGAGACTTACTGGTGCAAGGAAAGCAGTGACAGCTCCCAGCTGGAAGTGTGAAGGGGACACAGTCACCCCTCTTAAACTGATCAAACTGCATCATCGTATCATTCCCCGAAGGGAGGCATAGTGAGGAAGACAGAAGAAAAGATCCAGCAAGATGTAGAAATGGAGCAAATAGGTAGTGAGTGTTTGTAATGATTGACTTTATTAAATGGAGCATTTTGAATTAGCCATAGGCTAACCTGGAGAAGGTGACGTGTGTCTCTGCCTGGATGCCAACAGTCATGCTACTTTAAATTCACTGCAGGGACAAAAAGATAGTGACATAGGATTGGCATCAAAGCCTGTATAGGATAATAATTTTCTCAGGAGAGTCTCTTAATTCTCTCAAGCTGTCATTCTTGCATCTGAGGCCCTTGACAGAAATGTTTTTATCTTCCTTTTTCTCTGCCATAGATATATAAATATCAATCTTCCTTTTTTTTTTTTTCTTCCCTCCTAATCCCAGGGAAGCTTCTTGCGCCTATATTATCCATCATGCGATGCCACAGATAATGAAGAGGCACCATGGATTCCAGATAAAGAGTACTATCAGGGACTCTCTGACTTCCTTAATATGTACCGAGTTGTAGGAGAAAGGCTTTTCCAGTACTATGTTGGTAAGACTGGTTTTGGTTTTATTCCTTGACTAATGCAAGGGCATGAGCTCTGTATGCAGGTCATTGCCTCACTGCTCCGTGAATAGTGTGTTATTGTTGCAGGACAAAAAAAAATTAGTTTTTCCCAAAGAAGTACGTTTGTTTGAGATGGGTTTGTGTAGTGAGGCTCAGTGATGAATGTGACCCAGTTCTCAGGCAGACCCACAGTCCCAGACTGCTATGAATAGGAGCGTCTGGGCAATTTGCTCTAGGAAGAGCTCGGGCGAGCTACGCCTATGTGTTGGGCTTTAAATCCCACAGGGAAATGTGCAAATACTAAGGTCTGAATACCAACCTGACTATTCTTGAAAATATGTTCTTGTAGGGTTTAAGAGATATGTAGGCCTTGTGCTAGGCTGTGGATGGGAGGAGGAGAAGGAAAGTATCTTCTGCCAAGTAGAAAGTATTTTCAGAAACAGCTCTGTATTTGTCTTCTGTATTTTAAGGATGAGATTTGGTACCTTACCTTCAGATGACTGCTCTGAAATCAGCGGTCACCAGATTCTCGGGATCTCTCCCACAGGAACAAATGCTTTCTCTCATTTCAGTAATAATGACATACGCTTTGATTTTTATCTAGGTTCAGTGACCTGTCCTGCAAAGTCAAATGCTGCTTTCAAGCCAGGAGAAAAATACCCACTCCTCGTTTTTTCCCATGGACTTGGAGCTTTTCGGTAATTGTGCAGTTTGCTGACAAACTAGTTTTGTTGTCTATGGAGACAGCAGTCTCCAAGGATGGTTCTGAACAGATTTTCAGTAGGGGAGTGAGATCCCCATGAAGGTGAAACAGGTGTGAAGAACAGGCTGCTGTGTATCAGTATGCCTCCACTGAAATCAACAGCAGTAACTAAAAGCAGGCTTGATGTATTTATTTGTGTTTTCCCTTTGTGTTTTAGGGGTGAAGGTATTTACCGATCCATAAGCATGTTGTAAAGATTAGCTAGTTGATTTTTGGACAGCTCTTTGAAGACGCAAAGTGTCATATGTGGTACTTTTAAAAATCATGAGCATTTTTCTTTCTGAATAGATAGTAAAACAGTAACAAGATTGTGTGAACAGGCTTGGTGACTGGCATACAAAAGCCTGCTCTACCGGCTAGCAAATTCAAACAGAAGAAATAGCACATACATAGTGTGGTCAACATTGAAAGAGCAGTGTAACTGAAATAATTATGTGTGCACGTGTATCACTAGAGTGTGGTTTTAATTGCAGGACGATCTATTCTGCTATTTGCATAGAGATGGCTTCCCAGGGCTTTATAGTGGCTGCTGTGGAGCACAGGTGTGTATACTGCACGTTTTTGAGTTCTGATGGAAAGAAACTTTCTGACATTGAATAGAATGTTATTTATTCTAAAGAAGAACTTATGATTTTTTTAAAAAGAAAAACCAGTATATCTTCTTCAGCCCTGCCCACACCTCCCATTTCTCTAGCTCAACTCTTATCTAAGCAAAGGGGATTTGCTTAAATAAGCCCTTGAATGAACAGTCCCATGGTAGATATTGTTCATCATTCTTCAGGCATGTTATTTTTCTCTCTCTTATTGTTAGAACCTGGAGAATATAAAGGAGGTGGGAGTTTTGGTTGGGTTATTGCATTATTTAGAAAGTCTGTCTATGCTCAGTTGTGACTGCAGCAGCACTGGTTGGTAGCTTGGATCTCTTGAGATAAGTGAAATCTAAAACTTCGGCTGACTTCATCCCAAACCAAATGGAAAACATCCCCAGAACTAACCTTTTGTTGATATTACAGAGATCAATCTGCTTCAGCAACATATTACTGTAAAAAAAAGTCCGTTTCTGAACCACAGGAAGAGTCTACAGCAAACACGGAGAAGGAGTGGATCTACTACAGGAAACTAAAAGCTGGAGAGGAAGAGCGTTGTTTGCGCCATAAGCAGGTACTCATCCTAGGTCTGTACTCTGGGAAGTGAGGCAGGAGTGGTGTGTTTAGGACTAACTAGGAGGCTCTTTCCCTCTTTGGCCATGTCTGCAGTCTTCTGCCATGACTCAGGGGATATATAAAAATACACCAAGTCCTATCTTCCTGAAGACGGGAAAGCCAACAACAGCTTTCTTCAGAGCATAAACTACTTCCTCAGGAAAGCTTTCTCATGAGGTTGCACTGTGGCGCTTAGTCAGCTGTTTCTCCTCTGGCTCCACTCAACTTTCTGTTTCTTCCCTGTGTCTTCACGCTTTTGCTGCCCAGCCCAGTCTTTAAATGCCACAGAGTTGAATTCAGATGTTTGTGTGGTCTGAGGCTTGCGTCAGCTTTTGTTTACTGTTGGATGGCAGGATGAATCATGGCTGTTCTAAGGGGGGTGTTTGCTTCATCATCTCCAACACACTTGAATGTGGTTTATAGCAATGTAAACAATGCAAACTTCCTGATTATAAGCAGTATCCATGCTAGATGTGATATGGCCGTACTGACGAGCTCCTCCAAGCATAGACTTGACCTTTAAAATATGGGAGTGTTTTCTTCCAGCTAATGCAAACTCAGCCAGGGAGGTGTTTCTCTTTATCTCCCTGGGCCATACAGACAGCAGTACCATTGTCATTTCCTGTGTGCATACAACATCCTACTTATGAGTATAAATATGTAATGTCTGAGCTTGCAAATAACCTCCAGAAGCTGTTGACTGCAAATTTTTCTAGTAGAGAAGTCAGGAGATTGAGATTTATTTGAAATTTGGTAATGCACAGGCATCTTGCTGGCTGCCTACATGCTGTGGTTCCCAAGGACGCTACTGTTTTTTGGTTCTTTTTGAACCTTTTCTTTCACTGACACATGAAAGTCAAAAACACTTCTTACAGTGAACAATGAAAATGTTTATTTGCAACAGCTTTACTACAGTTTTTCAAGAATATGTATGTATATAAAACAGGAAGGGCTTCTTGTCTCTTTGTTATTTTGGGTTTGTCCAGTGTAAATACCATTTCAAAGCAATTGTGCAGATGGAGCAAGTGATGTAATGACATTTGCTCATCAGAGTGAACATGAGGAGGAGTAGCAAGTCAGCCTTCCTTGTAGTTGTGTAACTTAAGCCTTTGCACATCCCAACAACCCCTTCTCAGAGCAGTGACAGGATGAAGGAGTTGAAGGTCTTTGGCGCATGTTATAGGGATAAATTCTTCCACGTGCAGAGGATCTACGCAAGAGCTTAAACTCTTTGGACCTCCAAAAGTTAGTTTTGTTGTTGGTCAGACCTTGTCAAAGTTCTGTTTTACAGCTCCATTCTGCAGTTCAGAATAGTTGTTACCGTATCAGGCACTTGTGGGGAAAAAAAAAATATCAGACTAAGTCTTGTGTCCAAAGGGCCGGCAAACCTAGCAGTTGTCTGATAATTCCTTCCACTGCTCTCCCCAGGTGCAGCAAAGAGCACAGGAGTGTATCAAAGCTCTCGATCTCATTCTTAAAATCAATTCAGGAGAGAAAGTAATGAATGTACTGAATTCAAACTTTGACTGGAATAGCCTAAAGGTGAGTGAAAGGTGGTAACTGCACTTTGTTAAATGCCTAATAATGCTTCTGGTTTCCCTCTTCCATTTCTAAACTGGTTCCTGTAAACTGTTGTCGTGGTTTAACCCCAGGCAGCAACTAAGCACCACGCAGCTGCTCGCTCACTCCCCACCCACCCAGTGGAATGGGGAAGAGAATCAGGGAAAAAAAGGCAAAAGTAAACTCATGGGTTGAGATAAGAACAGTTGTAATAGAAAGGAAGAAACTAATAATAATAACAATAATAAAATGCCAATAATAATAATAAAAGAATTGGAACATACAAAAACAAGGGATGCACAATGCAATTGCTCACCACTTGCTGACCGATGCCCAGTTAGTTCCTGAGCAGCAATTCCCCTGGGCCATCTCCCCCCAGTTTATATACTGGGCATGACATCCCATGGTATGGAATACCCCTTTGGCCAGTTGGGGTCAGCTGCCCTGGCTGTGTCCTCTCCCAGCCTCTTGTGCCCCTCCAGCCTTCTTGCTGGCTGGGCATCAGAAGATGAAAAATCCTTGACTTGGTATAAACACTACTTAGCAACAACTGAAAACGTCAGTGTGTTATCAACATTCTTCTCATACTAGATCCAAACCATAACACTATGCCAGCTACTAGGAAGAAAATTAACTATCCCAGCCAAAACCAGGGCAACTGTTCTGAAGATTACACCGTAGATCTGTGAACATATGCTCAGGTCATCCCAAGCTGGATAGATAGTAATGGAGCTGAAAGGATGCTCTTCCTACTTCAGTAGGATCTATTGCCTAAAAATTTATTCCCTTTAAAAAAAAAAAAAAAAGTTTGGGAAAGAAAGTCTCTTACAGCACCTGAATTTTTTTGACAGGATTCTGTTGATACTAGCAGAATAGCTGTGATGGGACACTCTTTTGGTGGTGCTACAGTTATTGAAAGTCTCAGCAAAGAAATAAGATTCAGGTAAGTACGCAAAACAAGGCGAGAGACATTTGGCACTTGAGAGGTCTGGAGCAGGGGACCTCACCTGAGATTCCCCAACTACTAATTAGCTCTTGAAGAAAAGTTTTGTTTGGCATGTCTTGTTTTCGTAAGTCATGCTTCTTTGAACTGTGGGGATGTGGTGGAACATGATAGCTGTATCATATTATATCATGATACTGTGGGACCCTGCAGAAGCTCCTGTGCCTAGCTGCACCTGGCAATGGAGACCAACAAATGCAATAATGGATTAAGTCTCTTCCCCCAGAGTAGAAATCATCTGGAAACAAAATGATTCATTAACCTGTTTACCTGTTCGGTGTCATAGAGAGTTTCGCTTTCCCATGTCTCCTGCAAATCAAAGCATGCTGAGAATTTCCATACAAAGCTTTCTGCTTCTGTGACAATATCCAGTTGTTTTTGACAGGTGTGGCATTGCCCTCGATGCATGGATGCTTCCAGTAGGTGATGACATTTACCAAAACAGTGTCCAGCAACCGCTGCTTTTTATCAACTCTGAAAAATTCCAGTGGGCTGATAATATCTTAAAGATGAAGAAGCTCGGCTCCAATGACACAAACAAGAAAATGATCACTATCAAGTAAGAATCCAAGACCCATCACTTCTGTGGTTGAAGATGAATCTTTACTCTTATTAGAGCTGTACAGTTACACGTAACTGCAGAAAGACAGACAGTCCCTACTTCCTCATGGCCCAGGTTTTCACTGCATGTTTAAATTAGACGGCAGTACGTCCCCCACAGTGGAGACAGAGACTTCTCTCAAAGCAGCCAGTAACCCTAAGTTTAAGATGCTCCAAGGTGTGCATTCCGGCCCAGGGGCACAAGTTTTGCTCTGGGCCTCATGCATCATCTGCGTTTGAACACTTTAAACAGCCTTCTGGGTGCAGTTATGCACTCACCTAGTGAAAGCACTGCGTAGCAGGGAGTGGGTGGTTCTATAATCCACCTCAGAGCAGAGACAACTTGAAGTTTTGCCAAGCCTACTCTTTGTTGCCGTTGCAATTGTAGTTACTTACAGTAAGCATGTACAAAACTTCCTCCCTTCTGTGGTTAGGACAGAATTTACTGCTGTGCACGACTGTCTTTGAAGAAGTCTGTGCAACCCATGGCATCTTTTAATCAGATGACTGCCTTCTGATGAGCCTGTTGATCATGGTTCTGTTTGCAGGGGGTCAGTACATCAGAGCTTTCCTGACTTTACCTTTGTGAGTGGAGAAATCATTGGAAGATTTTTCAAATTAAAAGGAGAAATAGATCCCAATGAAGCTATTGATATAAGCAATCATGCTTCATTAGCCTTCCTGCAGAAACATTTGAGTAAGTATCTGTTTACATCAAAGTATGAAGTTAAATTAACACTTAATTCCTATGCAGCTTTTTATATAACTGTTCTTGTTTAGAACAAGATCAAAAGTAAGTGCGTCAGAAAAGTTTAAGTAGAAGAAACAACAGTCAGACTCTTTTTCTAGAGGTTTGTTAGTTACTTTTGTAATCTAAGCAATTCAGAGGAGGAACATTGCAGTTTTGTTCTAAAACCTAAAAACCTGGAGTGTCATTTTTCCCTTCTTAAAACATCATGCCTCCCCTACTTTGCCAGGTTGATTCATCTGTCCAATAGTTTAATTTTTCAGTGTAGCTTTACAAAAAGCTGACTACTTTATTCATTACCACTTGTGGTTTTCTTCTCCCATTTCATAGGTCTTAAGAATGATTTTGACAAGTGGGATTCTCTTGTGGATGGCATAGGACCCAATGTTATTCCTGGTACCAATATTGACTTATCTCCAGCTGAACCTGAATAAGGAATACAAAGAAGTACTGAAAATGCCATGGGCATCAGGACACTAACATTGGCCACCTACACAGCTTTTGGGATGTGGAACAACGACAACAAAAAAATAAGGCATTAGGTTACATTATCATGTAGAGAGGTTTTAGTTCAAATGAGTTAGTGGGATTCTCTGAAATACTGCAACAGGGTAACTTCTGCTATATAGACAGTTGGGGGGAGAATCAATTAATGGCAATTTAAATGCTTTCTGGTTTTGACTTTATTCTAAGTCTGCAGAGAGAGAGATTAAGCTCCAAGGAATTCAACTAGAGTTTTGCTTACTAAGTTTTAAGTGAGTTTGCATCCAGCAAGCCTTTTTTTGCAATATAAAAAACCCCCAACTTTGTTATTTAATTACTTAATATTTCAGCTGTGGTCTGACAACAGTTGCAAGTTGGAGCAGGTTTTTCCTCCTTCTAGTCAGTGAGGTACAAGTGGAAGGTTGTCTTCAAAACTGTCTTATTAAAATAAGAGTCACAGTAAAAGGTACAGGAAGTAGTTTAAGGTAACAGCAGAGAAAGGTGTTTGTTCAGACACAGGACTTCTCATATGAACTTAATCCACTTACATTTAAGATGTGTTTACTGCCATACTTGGAGGAGGTTTCCATTCCAAAAGCTGCTGAAATGGTCACTCTTGTTGTAGCAACTGTGATTTCGCTTAGGCAAAGCTCCCAGCAGTGCCTCTCTTGTTAATCTCCGTATTACCACTATCTATCAGTCATACTGTTGTAGGTGAAATTACAGAAGAGATGTGTTACTTCTACCACTCCCTTTAAAAAGGGGTATGTAAGCATTGCTTGATCATCTTGATGTCTCTTATGGTTATAATACTCTCTAGACACTCATCTTTTTCCAGGTACTAGCATTGCTGTCTGTATCTGTCAGTAGAAGCAGTTGACTATGTGGTGGGCTAAAGAAGGCTCTGATTTTTAGAGCAGAACTCTTTGAAGCTGCCACATGGAAGGGTGACTTCTTAATGAATAAGCCTTGCAAAAGGGGGACTACTTACTGTAGCCTATTTGTTTCAAAATCAGGTTACAAAAAAAACTGAAGCAGAACAAGGAAAGCAGTTAACAGTGTAATAAATATTTATATAATCTGTGATCTTAACATGAGATTGCAACATCTAAGACCTGTTTTCAGAATTTAATTAAATTCTCTCCAGCCTACCACCATGTATTGTCTCTATTAAGGGAAGAAACATGCAAGTGTTTCTCTTGCTGAGAAAGCACTAACCCTTGAGATCTGCCATGATACTCACCCAGACTATTACACTGTCAGAGATCTTGGGTTCCTAAGTCATTATGGCAGCATGAAAAATCCATAGCCTCTGAAGAGGAGGAAGCAGCTATGGTACACAGGAGCATACAACAGGACTATAAAATAGAAGCCCCTTTTCAACACAGGAGGAGGAGAACAAAAGGTGAGATAAAACAGCTGCAGCTTAAGGAGAAGTCCTTACCACACTGTACACATGCAGCAGCAAAACCATTCTAGGAGGTCTGCTTCATATTTATAGGCAAAGCTTCATCTTTTTCATCTTTCATTAGTGCAATTAAGGCCATGTCATAAATACAAGTTCTACTTTGTACATGACTGTGTGATGTTTCAAAGCATTCACAATAGCTCACAGTGCTCTAGAGAGCTGTTTAGGGTCAGACAGAACCAGTAACTGCAGAATGTGCATAGCTACATCTAACTGCAGTAGTACAGTTGAAGAAAGATACTCAGTACACACACAGCATTTGGGCTTATGCATAGGGAAAGAACACACGTCATCATTAACAAAACACTGATCAGTATATGCCAGCCAAAGCTTTATTGCAGCTTCTTCCATTGCTTTGTAACAGCACCAGATGCAAGACTTCAACACAAACCAACTATGTTCCCCTACAGAGAAAGAATTCCTCCCCTCCCCCCCAAAACATACCCTCGACTTTTCTTAGAGGAAAAAGAAAACTTAACAATGCAACTTTTCAAAAAGCAAACAACAGAAAGTAGTATTATGCAACACAGTAGCCTATACAACAACTCACAAGAAACCTGTGTTCAAGAACCACCCACCAACAGCTAGATAAAAGTTAGTGCACACACATATTCAGTGTGGAATGCCAGTCAAGAGGCAAATTCTTACGTAAGAAAGTACAGCTCTAAGAAGCGAAGCTGACACTAACAATGTACCAACAAGCACTATTCCTTGACAGGGAAGTATGATAGTGACAGGCATTTGCTGAGTTAGGTAGAAAAAAAACTCTCCATGCTTCACTTGTATCTGTGTTCCCACAAAAACAGATTTTCATGGGAATCTTCATGTACACAGGTACTTGTTCAGCTTCATATGGTGAGCATGTCACTTGGTTTCAGGAATGTTGGAGGACATGAGGATCTTCAGGCAAATCTGAACTGCAGCCAGTTTGCTTTTCTACAGGGAATAAAAACAGATTAGACCTATCAAGGTGTTTCAATAAACATGTATAAGTGCATTAGTATCTAAAGTCATAGCTCTACAAGGCTTCAGACTAAATGTCATCAACATATTGGACCATATTAAAAGAATAAACTTGCAAAGTTATATACAGATAAGACAGTTGAAACAGAACTGCCCAAGAAGATGAAGCAAGCAGTGCTCCCAGATTTCAGTTACAAGTTTAAGCCACTCCATTCCTCAGTGGGCTTAGCATAAGCCTCTGCAGGAGAGTTTTTGCATCCTGTGGATCAGGTACCTTCTACTCAAACTGCCTTTCAGGCCATGGCCCATGTGCACAGCAAGATCCAGTTCTGTGCCACATGGTTGCATGACCTTAGCTCACATTTTCTGCACTGCTGCTGCAGTGCAGTGCATACACTAATACCGTGCAAAGTATTCAAGAACACAGACAGTAGGCAAGTTTGGGCAATAATAATTAGCTACCAAAGAGTGGTAAAAACTGTAAAAGTATTATCAAAACCAGAGACAGCAAGATCAAGAATAATCCTGCATTTGAGTGATGTAATTGAGGGAGGATTGAGTTTAACATTTTAATCAAGTTTTTTAACTATTTTTTTGCCCAACAAGTAACTAAATCTCTGTTGCAGGCTTCATTATTTGTTACCCATAAACCAGTCAGCTTTCAGTACAGTTGTACTGAAATACAATAACCAATTCAATCACTGAAAACACAAATGCTATCTCTACTTCAGCTTAATTCAGTCTCCATCAGGCAACCACTGGTCAAACACAGGAACAAGTTACCCAGAGAGGTTCTGGAATCTCCATCCTTGGATAGGTTCCAGACCTGAAAGGGAAGTCCTAAGCAACCTGATCTAGTTGACCCTGCTTTGAGCACCTCCAAAGGTCCCTTACAACCAGAACTACTCTATGATTCCATAGATTATACAAATAGTATATAATCAGAAAGAACCTGTACTATTTTCTTTGGTACACGGAATAAGTGTTCACCAGTAACACCTCAAAATTTTTAAGTAACAATAAACATGTACATGCACTATTCACAAACTATCCTTAAAACAACTGAGATGGTATTATTATGGGTTTAGATTCATAGATCTATTAAGGGACTGGGGCATTCAAATCCCAAACTACAATGCTTAGTAGAGTCTGCCTAGCAGTCGCTCACCTTGCCTCAGAAACGTGAGCATGCTGGTGGCCGATGCTCAAAACCCTACCAAAATCTGTAACTTCAGTGTACCACCCCAGCTTGTCCAAGAGGCTCAATCCACTAGGTTGAATAAATGAATACTAAATTGATTTCTAATCAAGACAGAGTAGCAGCTTCATTGCATGTATTCACCATTAAACTCACAGTACATAAGCTAATGCTACTAAGAAAATTACAACAGTATTAAATACTTAAGTTAAAAAAAGTGTTTCAGTTGTATTTCCTAATATAAAGTATTTTCTAGAAAAGTAGAAAGCATCCAAACACCAAGTACACAACCTCTTTGAGAGCTTTAAGGTAGTCTTACCTTGAAGTAAAGACTCCTCTGGTAAGGACTGCAAGTTTTCCATTACAGGGGTTATTGCCTAAACAAAAGGGGATTCTGTTAGGAAGCTGACACTATTGCAAAGATAGTTTTCCATTGAGGTACTTCCTTTAATACTAGACTGTTTACATCAGCACTACTGGACTCTTATTTACCACTGTTTTCCCCCCTTACAACTCACTACAGAAGCCTTCTGCCCACTTTTTGCTTTGATGCAAAAACTGCATGTGAAGGATGAACTGGAAATGCATTGTTACCATCGCCAGCAGCATGGCTGATGACATGAGTTTTGGGTTCCAGATGTGACTTGTTCATTTATTAGTACTTCATGAAGAACACTGGTGAAAACCTTACCATCTTTTTCCAATTACTTCATAAAAGAAGTATTTTTCATGATTTACCAGTTAGTTACATGCTCAAAATCCACATATCAGCATTGTTCTACAGTTCTTGATTAATAGTAGTCTTTCAGTAACATTTCTTCCTTCAAGCTGTTTTCGTTAATCTATTCCCAGACTGAATTCACAGTCCTCAGGCCAAATGGCTGACAGTCTATGTAAACAGTTTACATAAATTATATCAATTATATAATGTATTTATACAAGTTTCTATAGTCTCCATAGAGATCTATTAAAGAAGGACAATGTGATGTCTTAAATAAAAAAACCTGTGCTTCTAGCAGTTGGCATGAATGCACAGATTTAGATTAATGCTACTTTGCCTTTCTATTTTCATGGTGACACAGGAAGAATCACAACTAAACTCAGAGTGCCCTTTCTAAAAATCAGTACTGTCCTGCCCACTACCACACCGCCATACCTCAGATGATCTGCAAGCCCAGTCAGGAATACAGTTCCAGACATTCTCAGGATCCACAATCTCCTCATTGCCACTGGAGAGATTCAAGACCTGTACAGACAGAGCCACATTGTACCTAGCACAGCGGTGGATCCCGAGAATACACTCAGCAAATAAGACATAGCAGTAGGAAAACACAATTGAGGACTCCCTGCCCTTTCAAGTCTGGATCTTGCAAGAAAGAGCAAGTTAACCTCTAATAAAGCTGAATATCACCACTGAATCTGCTCAAGGCTCTCCTGGGCTTCTAACCCAAGTATGGCGAGAGGGAAAGGCTGGAAAACACCTACTAGATCAGAACCAGTAGGAAACAGATGAATAAGGATATCACTA